AAGGGAGAAACGGGAGACCTTTCGATTTTTACAAAAGTAATATTCCTCTTTGTCGGTAGTGGGCGCTGGTGAGCCACGGAAGAGTTCAGGCATTTATTTGTCTTTGTGGAAATGCAGGATCCAGCAGCAGCACCATTAGCCAGTACGCTTCTCCCATGGTTTTATTCTGAAGTGCCCCCCCCCCCCCAAGCAAGCATCCAGGGACTTCTCTGTCACTCTGGAAGCCATGGGCGTGACTTCTCCAACAAGAACTGGGCCTCAGTTTGGAGGGAGAAAGGAATTTTTCCTTTGACCTCTAACCCAACTCTAGGTAAGGCTTAAACTCCGTTACAGTCCTGACCCCTAAGGATAGGCCTTGACATTTTATATGACTGGGCAGACGGGTATGTGAAATAGGTAAACAAGTCAAACACTTCCTGAAAATAAATCATTCAAGAATTTATTTTAGGGTAATCCTTTGGTGCAGATATACAATTTTATCATCAACTATAAAAGGCGAAGGCAAATTTGCCTTCTAGTAAGATGAACAAAGAACTAAATCTTAGCTGAAAATTCGAGCATCTCCAGCGGCATTTCAGAGCTAACTGATTTTGTATAATCCTCAGTGCTGAGAACACTGCTTCACATGCATGCATAGCACAGAATGGAGGGATGCACAGGTTTATTTAAGAAATTGTAGCAGGGCCAGTGAGAGGGTCCTCCTGAGAACCCCAACATGCCGTCTTCAGGCTGCCCGACCCCACGTGCTGTGGTGCAAGTGTGCCCCACCGCACCCAGTGAATGAAGTCAAAGCAAAACACAACGGCATCGGGGTCTGAATGCGTGTGGTGGCACATGCCTGCAATCCCAGCTACTTGGGAGGCTAGCCTAGGCTACATGAAAGGCCTCACGAAAAGAGAAGTTTGAGGTAGGAAGAAGGCTGCGGCTGCGACACGGAAGCCACGTGTTCTGTCCACAGCACTGTATAAACTAGGAAGGTGGTTCATGTCTGTAACCCAGAAAGGAAGCAGAGGTGGGAGATTAGGAGATTTGCTTTGCTTTTTTTTTTTTTTTTTTTTTTTTTTTTTTTTTTTTT